GGATCGTTTTAAGTTCTCTCGTCTGATATCTTCTTTGTCCCCTCTTCTATATTTTCCTGTGTTCAAATATTTTGTGTTTCCTTCTTTTCCACTCGTTTGTTTATCTATATCCCAATGAGATCATTTATATTAGGTTCAATTACAGAGTTGTACTATTATATTTTAATTCCTTTCCTGTGCTGCTCTTATTTGTTCTTCTAACTCAAAGTAGACGAAAGACTCAGCTAAAAAACAGTGAATATTCACAATTCAAGAACTATACGCAAACTTTTATAGAAACTTGTAAAATGATATATTCAAAACTATAGTATAATGCAGAAACCTTATAATCATTTAAAATTTTTCAACGTAGGGAAATTTATGCAACGATATTGCGTTTGTGTATATCTTGCAGTGCCCTTGCCTTTTAATCTTAGATACTCTGTTGGTTTATTCTAAATCAAATTAATTCTATAAATTTGATTCTTATTTTTAAAAATTAAACGTGTGGATTTAAATTTTATGTCAAGCTATTAGTAACCTTTTTGAATTTAAGGTATCGCCACATTCCACATTTTCTTGTACTACCAATAAATCAAATAAATTTTCTCTATGCTTATCGACTTGAATAAGCAAATAAACAATTCTTGAATGTGTACAAGGTTGGTAGCGCATTAATCAACCTAAGTAATCTGTATCAATTAAAAAATTCTAATAACAATAATAAAATTATAATTTTAATAAAACAAACACCATTTTTTTAACGTTATTCTACTCGAAGCAAATTTTCTTGTTATTTTCAAAAATGTTCATTTTTTTTCATAACCTTTAGCTTCTAATATTATTGATTTGAATTCATATTCCTCTACTTTGCAAGTTAAAATTTTTAAAAATTTTACAGACTAGAATGATAATAACTCGTCAAAGTTCAAATATAATACGCATATAAAAAAATTATTGGCCTCAAAAGGATGATAATAAATCTCAAATAAACGCAAATGTGGTGGTTAATAAACACATTCTATTAATTCATAAAAAAAAAGTGAAACAACTTTTCTTATAATCTACGTTGAATCGAATCTTAAAAAAAGAATAATAGTATGTTCCTTATTGTTAAAGAAGTTTCACTTTCAAAATTGAATTTTTTAATCTTTGTTAACGATACATCTTCCGAACACTATAGTTTACTTCAACTCTTTGTATAATGAGCCTTTTACAGTAAAACCTCTATAAATGCACCCTCTATAAATGCACACCCTCTCTAAATGCACGCTCAACTTCTAGCCCAAATATATACAAGACCTCTATAAATGTACTTTTTCTTATTGTTCTCTAAATGCACGTTGTTAAAGCTCAGTCCCAAGAGCGTGCATTTATGGGAGGTTTCGCTGTATAATGAACAAACTAAAAATTTTAAAAATTATATAATAATTCTGTATGGAGAAAATTGACTGTATTCATATTTCTGTTATACAGTAGTTTTATTACCCATTTTTAGTATTAATTTCTCTTACTTTAATTCATAATATAAGCTTATTTACAAAGGAGATACACTACATTTATATTTAATTAATTATTCTATGATTTCGAGTTCTTATGTTTATTAACTTGTAAACAAATTATTTATTCTACCTTCATTCGGCGGTATCGAAGTGCTTATTTCATTAGCGTTATTACGAGCCACCTCTGATTATTTATAGATTAATACATAATTATCACACGACACGAGTAGTTTAATCGTCTGTGAAGAAAACACTGCACTGAATTATTATCTTGTGCTTATTTCATTAGCGTTATTACGAGCCACCTCTGATTATTTATAGATTAATACATAATTATCACACGACACGAGTAGTTTAATCGTCTGTGAAGAAAATACTGCACTGAATTATTATCTTAACGCAAAAATCTCTCCATCGTGTGACCAAGACTGGATGAAAACAAAGTTTATACTGATATAGTCGATAATTTCAATTTTTTAATGTACTGTATTTAGTGATTGAGATTAATTTTTACATGGGTAGATTTAAAAGATTTAATTTTTAATATAGACACTATATTAGAATTTTAAGATACAGTTTTTAGAAGATTAAAATCCTATACGAGTTATGTTCAATCTATACAATATTATAATAGGATGGAAAAAAGTTTTTTACTAATTTTAATGTTCTTTAAATTGTTTCAATCAGCGGATTTTAAAAGAATATAAAATAAAAAAGTATTCATATTGTTTTACTTTATTGGTTAAAATTTTTAAAATTTATACAGACCAGAATGATAATAACTCGCCAAAGCTCAAATATAATACGTGTATAACAAATATTGACATCAAAAGTATGATAATAAATCACAAATAAACGCAAATATGTTAGTTACAGTAATAAACACATTCTAAGTAATTTATAAAAAATCCTTTAAATGAAAAAACTTTTCTTATAATAATAGTAATATTCTTTATTGTTAAAAAAGTTTCACTTTCAAACTTGATTTTTTAAGCTTTGTTAACCGTACATCTTTCGAACACTATAGTTTATTCTACTTACATATTAAGTACGGTCAACTCTTTTTATAATGAGCCTTTAATAATGAGCAAGCTAAAAATTTTAAAAATTATTTATTAGTTCTCCATAGAGAAAATTGACTATATTCATATTTCTGTTATACTGTAGTTTTATTACCCATTTTTAGTATTAATTTCTCTTACTTTAACTCATAATATAACGAAAAGCTTACCAAAGAGATACACTATACATTTATATTTAATTTGGATTACATTAATTATCTATGATTTCGAGTTCTTATGTTTATTAACTGGTAAACAACATATTTATTCATCCTAAAATTCACACAGTATCAAAGTGCTTATTTCATTAGCATTATTACGAGCCACCTCTGATTGTGAATAGCTATTTATAGAAGAATATTATCATTATTACACGACACAGGTAGTTTAATAGTCTATGAAGAAAATACTGACTGAATTATTGTCACACGGATCTTAACGTAAAATCTCTCCAACTTGTGACCAAGTCTGGATGAAAGCAAAATTCATACTGATATAGTCGATGGTTACAATTTTTTCAATACAGTAAAACCTCTATAAATGCACCCTCTATAAATGCACACCCTCTCTAAATGCACGCTAAACTTCGGGCCCAAATATATGCAAGACCTCTATAAATATACTTTTTCTTATTGTTCTCTAAATGCACGTTGTTAAAGCTCAGTCCCAAGAGCGTGCATTTATGGAGATTTCGCTGTATTTGGGCCAGAAGTTGAGCGTGCATTTAGAGAGGGTGTGCATTTATAGAGGGTGCATTTATAGAGGTTTTACTGTATAGTCCAATAATGATCTGTGCTAAATTTATTGGCTAATCTATAAATGCACACCCTCTCTAAGTGCACATGCATACCCGGTCCCGAGGGCGTGCACTTATAGAGGATTTACTGTATACTTATTGCTTGAGATGAATTTTTACATGGGTAGATTAAAAAGATTTAATTTTGTAGTCACTATATCGGAATTTTAAGAACCAATTTTTAGAACATTAAAATCCTATACGAGTTATTTTAAATCTATACAATATTATAATAGGATGGCAGAAAGGTTTTAAAAATTTTAATGTTCTTTAAATTGTTTCTAATCAGCGGATTTTTAAAGAACCTAAAATTAAAAAATATTATTGCGCTTTGAAAAATGTGTGACCTTGAATTTTCGTGTTGATATCAATAAATTATTGATTTCCTGTAAATTATATTTTTAATTTAGTAACGTCTATTTTCTTTATATATTAACATATTTGGGATTGTGCATTGTCCACGAGCATTGCATGTCTGTTACTATCTCACTTCATGAAATAAGCATTCAAATAGGCTATAATTATCTTTATTTTATGAAAGTTTAGAGAGCAGTCTAATTATATTCTTACATCGAGGTGGGAGCTAGCATTATACACATGCGCAAGTCATTGAAGAGACATATAATATGTTTATTCTTAACGTCAATGTCCTCACATATTATTCCATCATCCAAACGTTTACTCGTCTGAGCCCAGTGCCCAATCAACGGATGTACGTTGTTATACAGGTAACACCGTGTAATATCAGTTTTCTTGCGAAGATGTACATAATGGGTTATGTGCTACTCAAAATAAATATTAAAATGCAGATTCGGATTTTTGTTTTTTTTTTCACATACAATAGCAAAATGGAAAACAAAAATTCAACGGAGTTAAATGACCTTGGATATTGTTGTGAAAATGGAATAGGGATTGAAAAGGATGAAAATAAGGCATTCAACTGTCATCAAAAATCTGCTGATATGGGAAATACTGAAGGAATATATAACGTTGGATATTGTTATCAACACGGAATAGGGGTTGAAAAAGATGAACGTAAGGCATTCATTCATTACCAAAAATCTGCCGAGATGGGAAACGCATCTGCAATTTACAACCTTGGAAATCTTTATCAACTTGGAATAGGGACTGAAAAGGATGAACATAAGGCTTTCATTAATTATCAAAAAATCTGCCGAGTTGGGAAATGTTTCTGGAATTTATAACCTTGGACGTTGTTATCAAGATGGAATAGGGATTGAAAAGGATGAACATAAGGCATTCATTCATTATCAAAAATCTGCCGAGATGGGAAAAGCTACTGCAATAAATGACCTTGGATATTGTTATCAGCATGGAATAGGGATTAAAAAGGATGAACATAAGGCATTCATTAGTTATCAAAAATCTGCCGAGATGGGAAATGCTGCTGCAATTTATAACCTTGGACGTTGTTATCAAAATGGAATAGGGACTGAAAAGGATGAACATAAAGCATTCATCCATTATCAAAAATCTGCCGAGATGGGACATATTGCCGGAATGACGCGAGTTGGTTATTGCTATCGAAATGGGATTGGAACATCAAGGGATTCACAGAAGGCCAATTATTGGTGTCAAATGTAAATAATCTATTATGTTCATTTTTTATCGTAATTACAGTCTCATAAAAACATTTCTTACTCAACAAATATCTACAGCACAATTCTGGGCAACTTTTTGGATTGCCATCTTCACAAGAAAAATATACAATTATTTATCGTTGTTGTTATTGGGAAATTAGTCAATCAAGAAATTAGGTATCTGTTCATTTCCCTGACAGTCATCTCCCCTAAAACTATTTACCCAATATCGCATAGATTAGAATTAGTTGCAGGTATATGCTATTAGTAAATTATCACATGTGTAAATAGCCTGTAGGAGAAATTACCGTCGGAGAAATGAGACATAGGGCGTTCCAAGCACTTTTTCAATGAACTCAGCAAAGAATCCGATTGGTCTGTTTGATTAAACTAGACAACCAAATTCCTTATCGGATCCGTTGAGAAAAGTGCTTGAGAACGCCCATGACCTTTTTCTTAATGGATAGCAAAATTGTCAAACTGAGAACACTTTGTAGTTATTAGATGATGTATCTTGGCGGTGAAAATCTTTAATTCTTAGTATTTCTGAGTGCAGATCTGAGGACACATTTAGGTTATTAAATGTGGCAGCTTATGCTGAGATTAGCTTATACTGAGAATTTGATAAAAATTTTTTAGACCTTTTTTGTGGGAATTTTTTTATAGTTAAATTAGAAATTAGAGCTAGTATTTATAGTAAAGAGTATATGTGAATTTTAGTAGCTACCAAGGATTTAAATAAGGTCCCAAAATTTCAGCATAAGATGCCACAATAAATATAAAATCTAGTATATAATATATATATAGTACTTACAAGATTTTGAATAATGTTACATCACGTAAAAATAAAAGCTTATTATTTTCTTAGCAAAATATAACCTGTCTATCCATTATTATTAATATTAATTGTAAACGCTTATAATAATATTTGTTGACATTTATTTATTTGCATTATATAAATATTTTGACCATAATTACTATTTAATGCATACAAAGCCATAAATTGTTTATCTTTACAATCCTATAGAACCAAGTTTTATTTGGATAGTGATCAATAACTTAAGATTTTATTATAATTATAGAAATTTAATATTATGTCAGTAAGTACTGTATAGCTAGTCTAGAAAACTTCCCTTTTATAATACCCTCACGATTTTGGAGGTCTAGAATGTATTGTACCTGGGTATTAAAGATGAATAAATTAAAAAATGCAGCGCTTTGAAAATAAAATACTAAAGACGGATTAATACGGATTAATTGCACTTGAAAATAAAATACCATATTGAGTGGCGGCACTCATGTAGTGCAATTTATACCTCCTATGCTAACTATAGTTTCCCTCCAACTATAATACCCATATATCCCATTATTGGCCGATAACATAGGAAACATTTATTTAAACTTAAATCGGTATCAAACTTAAGTATAGCTATTAACTTACCGTTATATTTAAACCTTTTTCAAAGTCTCTGGAACCAATATCTGAAGAATCTCTATTTTGCTAGTAATTTTATTATAAGTAACAATCTTGTCAAGGCATATGATATAGTACTTGAACAGTAAAGGTCGACTTGGTTTATTTACATTGTGAAAAATCTCTGAATATTATTTAACATATTCTTCGAAGAAAAATTAAAGTTGTTTTTGTATAACCTATTTGACTTGCCAATGGTCTGAATTCATATGTGAAATTCTTGACATTGGTAGCTTTGTTATATAATTTATTTAAGTATGCTGTGTTCCAACTGTAATTATTTTTAGCTATCTAAGTTTAAGAATAGCAATTTGAGATAATCAGCAGAAATAAGCGAACAGAAACGGACAGAAACGAATAAAAACAAACAAAAACGAACAAAAACGAACCTAGTAGCAAGTAATAAATTTAATTTTTAATTAATTTAAAATGATCCAAACTGTGATTGTATAAAATTTATAATTATTTTATAATGATAAATAAAATTATAAAAAGCATCGGTGTTTAAAAAAAATTTATTTAAATTGATTATTAGTTCGCTTTAAATTTATGTCTTAAAATAACGCCCATGGGCGTTATTTTGCGCAAATACGATAGTAAATTTAAGGCCCACTTTATATTGTATGAAAGATTTCATCAAAAAAATAAACATTTACAACGAAATTGTAAATTAATCCGTTAGGATATGAATGTTATAAACGAAAAAAAAAACTTTCCAAGAAGTTATAATAATAAAAAACATCTTGTAACCGTAAAATGAATTTGAGTACAACATTAATTATCAGGGATATTTTAAACCTATAAATCCGGGAAATAAATAAAATTATTAATTGATTATTAAATAAATTCCAAGAAAATTTCCTAGTTAATAAACTTACCCTCCGATTGGCATAAAAAAAAAGACTAATATAACAAAAAGCATTAAAAATATTAAAAATACAACAAAATGCATTAAAAATAGAGTTTCAAACTTGTTATTTAATTCATCAACTCTCCTAATGAGGTCTTGAATTTCTTAATTAAAAGAAACATTTTTATTTTCAAAATATGAAGAGACCGCATTATTGATTTCGGTTAAAGTTGTAAGTATAATATTTGGAATTGAATTCGCGAGTGTCAAAGAATTTTTCGACATGTTTTTTGTTACATAAATGCCCAAAGTTGTATTTTCTGAATATTTAGAAACTTCTGATATAAATGCATTAACTTGACCAACGGTAACTTTTTCATAACAAGTGACCAGAAGCATGACTTTTTGGTGTGCACCGACTAAATATTTAACGTCATCTTTATCAGAACTACAAAAAAAAAAAAAAAAAATTATAAGTTTAACCATAATCGTCAAAGCAACCTATTCACCACAGGCTTCCACGCGAAGCTAGATTTAGCTTTTCAGATTAAACATAACGGAGAAGGACGTTCACAGGTATTCCTGTGGCCACGATGTGCTTCCAGTCCTCCGATGCAATCCTAGTGGCAGCGTAACTTCAGATACAATAACGACTAGATTTACTTAGTGATGTCTCACCTCAAAATGTCAAGATTAATATTTTCAAGTGTCAGCTTAGAACAAACTTGATCAAATAAACCATGTCGTCTGATGAGTGATGCCATGACGATAATAATTAATAAAAGCTTAAGAAAAAACTTAAATTAAAAAAAAAAAAGACATTTACTTATCGTATTTGAGACAATTTTCTCTCACGTTTTAGGGGCAAAAAAAAGTATTTTCTCTCACAAATTAACGATGAGATTGAGATTTTTCACACGTTGGATCAAATTTGTAGATCAATCTAATGATTACGATAGATCGACAAATTGAGTCAGAATTAGAAAAGTTTCAACTGTAAGATTAACTCAGTTGTCTTAAATTTCGAAGTAATTTGTAAGAAGTACTCACAAACTCGTAATTTTGGTAGAATCAATATGCAACTCTGGTAAGCATTATCTTGTACTAATTAATATAACTCTGGTAAATATAACAGATTTTGTAATTAATTTGTAACTCTGGTAAGCATTTGATTTGAATGTACGTACAATCCGAATTGTAACTCATAAATCGAATGATTTATTCAAAATTACAATTACATGAAATTTCAATTTACTGAATCTTACGCAAAATTACGCAAAATTACGTAAATTACCCTAAATCTGGTACTTTATGTATGACGTGTGAAAAATTGCATAAAATTTGGTTTTCTGAAACTACGTAAAATTAAAATTGTAATTTATGAAACACATCCCTATTGGTAGAATTAATTTTGGTCGTAACTCTGGTAAAAAAAATTTTGGTAGAATTAATTTGTAAGCATAATTTTGGTAGAATTAATTAGTAACTCTAGTAAATATAGTTTTGGTAGAATTAATTTGTAACTCTGGTAAGCATAATTTTGATTTTGGTAGAATTAAAATCTTAATAGGATTAATTAGTAACTCTGGTAAACTTAGTTTTGGTAGAATTAATTTGTAACCCTGGTAAATATTATCATGATAAAATTAATTAATAACTCTAATTCATAACTCTAGTAAACATAATTTTGTGTAACTCTTATCTTGATAGAATTAATTAGTAATACCAATAATACCCTTTTCAAATTAGTGTGTTCACACTACATATTAGTTTAATCTTCAGAAATTTAGAATTTAATATCAAAATATAAGCCTGGAATGTTTAGTTTTTTACTCAGAATTACTGAATTCTAATTGTAAATAATTTTTTTTAAATGTGGAGCAAGGTTTTTTAATATAAGTATGGTTAGTTTGAGTTTTTAGGATCATTTTCGAAAGTTCAAGTAAAATTTTATAATTTATAATTGAATTAGACGGTTTTATAAAATTATTATTTCTTTATGATTAGTTGAAAAAAAAATCTCAAGATTATCTACCGATGAATATATTATGTTAAATAAAAAATCTGCTTGAATTGGTCTAACTTAGAAAATATAAAAACTATTAATTTATTAGCAATATCTAAATTATTATCATATATAAAAGTTTGCCTTTGATATATCATACAATTATTAATACAAGTGGCAAATCTACCTACATAATCATTTTCTAACTTAAGAGAATAGATTAGCTTTGCTAAAATAGAGTTTTTATATCTTGATTTAAATCTGTATCAAGTTAAGCTAGTTTAAATTTGTAAATTATTCCAATTGTTGCAGGTTTCTTTTGCAATATTTTTATATTTAGAATTACTTTTGAAACTTCTCCAAAAAGTTTGTAAGCTTCATTTAAATTTTTATCAATTCCATACCCATTCAAAAAATGAATTGCCAAAAAAAAAATATTTTGCATTATTTGCATATACAAAAGACTGAAAAGAACAGTAAGACTGTTGGTAATCTTGTCCTTTTCTAAAGGCACTAAAAGCAGACTTTATAAGTTTAACCATAATCATCAAAGCAACCTATTCACCGGCTTCCGTGCAAAAGTCTGAATTTCATTTTAGCGGAAGAATATATCTTTATCCAATTTATCAAATATATATAAAAAATTATTTGTTAGTGGGTCGAAATTTTCACGTGTATTAAGTTATTGTCTTGCAATATTAATGTAACTTTCTTTCTCATCTATTTTAATTTTATAGAAATTTGCACCAAAATAAAATAGCACATGACTTAATCTTAATAATAATATAAATAAAAATATCCATACATATCAACAATGTCAGATGTTGAAGCTTTAAATTTAATGAAATTTAATGAAGCTAAATTTATTAAGGTTAATGTTTTTGATCAACGGAAGTGTGAAAAAATATTAATTGACAAAGAATATGTATAATTTTTTTTAGAATTTTAATTTTTAAAATCTAACTCCTCTCACATACATCAGCATTTGTTAACTAATAAAAGTTCGATAAATTAAAGATCTAACAGTGATGATAGTTAAGCATCAGCATTTTTTAACTAATAGAAGTTCGATAAATTAAAGATCTAACAGTGATGATTGTTAAATAAATTAAAATGCGTCATATATAAATAATATAAATATTTCAAAACTTGTAATGTTCTAAATTTTCATTCTTTAAAAACTTCTTAAGTTATGTCGAATGAATTAGCGGTGATAGAAAAAAATGAAATTATTAACCTTGCAGTTAATTTGATCTGGAATGCTACAGAAAAAAGTGTCTCTTCAGTAATATTTAATGGCGAAACTGCGACAGTTTTAAGTCAAGCTTGTTCTCGTTCGATTATTGTGGATTTGGATGAAACAGATTCAGTAATTATAAAAGGTGAAACTTATAGAAAATTAAAGGAAAAGGTAATTTCAATATTTTAAGTTGCTATAAATATTTTTAGCTAATTATAAAATAAATATCCAGGTAATTGAGGTCAGTGAAGACGCATCAAATATAGATAATGAAAAAGAAATTGATTATGTAACTAAAGTTTAAAAAAGTACCACCAAGGTTACAGAAATTGTAGTAATTATCAACTTCATATTGTCTTTTAATTTTACAGCAATTTCTAATACTGTTTTACAAAATAAACTTAGAAAATTCAGGATAACAATTTAGTAAATAATTAAATAATAATAAGTCCATTCATTAGTCTTTTATATGATTTATAATTTAATTAAATTTTCATAGAAATCATCGAGAGTCTCAATCGATGACAGTCAACTCTTCAGAAATGCGTCGACAAAGATAAATAAATTTAAAGCTGCCAAATTTACGGTAACTATAAAAATTTTTTAGCGTTATATGAATTTTACTTATAAATCTACCAAATTAAGTTGGTAATAATTTTTTAGCGAAATGATAATCAAACTTTCAATAATGAGGTGCTAAAATCTTAACGATTTTTTATTTGAAATTTCTAATATCAACTAAATGTCAATTCATAACTCAGCAAAAAGAAAGTGACAATGAAACATCATCACAAATTGATGAACTAGAAGATTCCAATTCATATAGAGTAAGGCAATTTTTCAATTATTACTATACAAAATCAATCAAACTAACCTTAGCAAATTCAAAGAGGCGAGTTTTAAAACGTAAAGCTAAGAATACAGGTAGAAGAGATAAAAGTAAAAAAAAGATATTATTTGTGTATAATTGTGATTAATACAAAACCACTAGAATTAGTAAAAATTTGTTTCCGCTATTAATTTCCCATATTAATTATGCACCAATTAACGTATCATATACAACCCTAGAGTATTGATATATTATCAGATGAATCCTCACCGTCAACTAATGAAGATGAAATTTCAAATGTTTCAATTCCAGCTGATCAAAATGATTACCCAAGATTTATAATATATCCTGTAGGTTTATATAGTGATTGGTGCCGTAATCATGTGATGCTAATTGTCACACGATACAATATATAAAAATCAACAATTAGATTGTTGATTTTTATATAT